AGCCTGCCCAATGTAGCAAGACCCTATCTGTACAAAATTAAAGAAAATTAGTCAAGCATGGTGGCACACACCTGCAGCTGGGATTACAGGCAAGCACCACCATGCCTAGCTAATTAGTAGAGACAGGGTTTCACCATCGGGCTTCACCATGTAGGTCTCAACTTCCTGACCTCATGATCCACCTGCCTCGGCCTCCCAAAGTGCTGGGATTACAGAGGCAAGCCACTGTATCTGGCCCCAAACTTTTCTTATTAAAACAAAATCTCCCTCTATCACCCAGGCTGGAGTGCAGTGGCACAATCGTAGCTCACTGCACCCTTGAACTCCTGGGCTAAGCAGTCCTCCCAGTTAACCTCCGTGGAGCTGGGACCACGGGAACTTCTCCACTTCCCATAATTCCCTCCTCTTTTACTTTATAGTTTTCCTTTTTAAACCTTTGAAAACATGTTTTGGCTTAGCTGTTCTGCTTGAGTTTTTAAAAGAAAAAGCTTCTCTGTCTTTTCTATTTGCACGATTTCTCTTTAGTTTTATTTCCCACCTCTCTCCCCCCCACCCCACACACACACACATTCTCTATTTTCCGACATACATGAACCCTTTTTTAACATTTTGCTGGCCGGAGCCAGACTTGCCTCGGGCTGCTGGCTATGTTTACCTTCTCACTTACCACGTTGTTCAATGACTTTTCAGGGCTAATTGCCTGGAATTCATCTTGAAGTAATTCAATATTTTTTTTAAATGTTCATGCTTGTGTGGGCCTGCCGGCTACTGCACCGTCTGACCTGGAGCACCTGTTTGACAGAGGCAGCGTTTACCCAGGCAGTCAATGCTATCTCACTCATCAATTCCACTCTGGATATACTCCCAATAGAAATGAGGGCTCATGCTGGCTGCGCAGGGTGGCTCACGACTGTAATCTCAGCACTTCGGGAGACTGAGGCAGGAGAATCACTTGAATCCAGGAGGTAGAGGTTGCAGTGAGTCATGATTATGCCATTGCACTCCAGCCTGGGTAACAAGAGCAAAACTCTCTCTCCAATTAAAAAAAAAAAAAAAAGGAAAGAAAGTAAGGAGGGCTTATGTCCACCAAAATTCATTCATAGAATGTTCATAGCAACTGAATTAGTGATTAGACAGTGCTGGGCTCATTTTCACTCTGCCTGTATCAGGACACTAGTCTTTTCCTCCATCACCCTGGCCTGGCCTGGCCTCTGCTCTGTGGGCTCTGTGATACCTTTGCTGTCTGGACTTTTTCAAAAGCAAAATCTTCCACACAAGCCTTCTGGCTTCTCCATTCCCAGCTGGTCATCTTGAGTGGACTGACCTCCGCTGCTGCAGGTCTCACGGCCCAGTGAACTCTGACCGATCTCTTTTACTCAAGATGTTGTGTGGTCTATTTCTGAAATATGTGGGGTTTTCTTTTATTTTGCTGTGATTTTGTTTGTTTTCATCTATAAAGTAGGTGATTTACAGTTGAAATATCTGCTGTATTCCCAGAAGTGACGAAAGTGAAAACTCATTAACCCAACATTAATATGCGCTTTGTGCAATTTTGAATGCTGTTTTACCAGGTCAATTCCATAGTTCATTACAGTCCCATTCCTGTCGGTAACTGTGTTGTGCAAAAACGCCTTTGCCCCCCTTTTGGTGGTGCCCCAGATCTAATATTCTAAGTGTCAGACTTTCCGTATTTGTGAGAGAAAATATTCCTCGACGGTGAGTTAGTGAAAGTGAATGTAACCTATTACCCTCAGCGCCGATTCCCAGCGACAAAGGCCTTAGATGATGCTCAGCTCTGCTTGTTCTCATGTGGCCTCTGTACCTTCAACAGCTGTCGAGTCCTGTGATTACACATGATGGGAATTGTACACTTGAAATCAAACACTTGCCTGAAATTTGCTTTTTTCAGAATTCCCACTTCATTTTTCCATGGACAAAAGTATTATTTATGTCATAATGCACTTAAAATTTGTATTACCAGGCTGGGCGTGGTGGCTCACGCCTTTAATCCAAGCACTTTGGAGGCCAAGACAGGTGAATCACCTGAGGTGGGGAGTTCGACACCAGCCTGACCAACATGGTGAAACCCCGTCTTTAAAAAAAAAAATTTGTATAACCTTGGAGTTAAAAGAAATACTCTAGCCATGCCTAACTGACTTCTGTATGTCTGATTGTTCTGTTAGAAAACCCTCTCCCAGTTCCCCTGCATGTCTTCAGGAATGCACATTTCCCCAGAGTGAAGAAGGCCCTTTGTCAAGAAGGGAAGCAGAGGGTAATGAGAGGGTCCTGCAGGCAGAGCTGGAATCAACCTCCACTCTGCCTCCTGCAAGCCGTGTGACCCTGGGCACATGCTCCTTTTCCTCAGGGAGGCTGTTTTCTTAGATTTGGAGCAGGGTGGTCACACTGACTTGCAGAGTTCTGAGAATCGGAGACAGAACATAAAAGGCCTGGAGAACATTCTCCAAAAAGAAGCTGCAACAGGTGTGTGGACAATGGGCTTTTCATGCCTCTTACTCGCTGGTTATCCCATGCAAGGAGCATGCTCTGGTGATGGTGGTGACGGAGGAATGAGGATAGACAGAGACACTTCTGAGTCTGAAACATGCTTCTTCCTTATTGCATTATGACTCTGTCTTCCCTGGGGCAGGCCCCAGCCTGCCTGTGTTTGCAGACAGATACAGTGGCACGTGGAGAAAACAGTTTGTCCCAATGACTTTTCTTCACTCCCTAGCTGTCAGTGGTACTTAGTGGAAGGGTGACTTCGTGACACTGATGCTGCTATTTTGAAACGTGGACGATGGAAAGGTGCAAAAGACTATCAGCAGCAATATCAGGTGCAGCTTGTGTTGTTGGTGGTGATTCTGTCCGTCAAATTAATATGTTTCAAAACCCTTCCTCCTTCTGCCCGAAGGTTAACATGGCTGCAGCACAGCGTCATCACTGCTCAGGATGGACCTACTCACCCTACCTCATGGCTGACCCTTCAAGACCACTGATGGCTTGCCCGCCACCTCCTCTGTCTGGGTGTCACCTGGGAGCGCCACCATTCCCATCAGCTAAAGGTGTTCTGGGACCTCTGACAACTCCTCGACTCCAGTGTCCACTAGGACCTCAGCCACCTTCTCCAGCCGATAATTTTGGGGGACCACAGACACCTACACATGAACGTCTTCTGGCACCTGTACCACCCTCCTCGGCCAATGATTTTCTGAGCATACACAACACCACCTGAGTGTCTTCTGGTACGTCTACCACGTTCTACAGATGATGAGTTTTCGAGACCACAGACACCTACACATGAGTGTCTTCTGTTACCGTCTTTAGCCAATGATTTTCTGAGTCTATACACAACTCCACCCGAGTGTCTTCTGGCACCTCTCCCACCTTCTCCAGATGACAATCTTTGCAGACCACGGACACCATCACTCCAGTGTCTTCTGGCACCTATACCATCCTCTCCAGCTGACGATTTTCTGAGACCACACACACCTTCTATCCAGTGTCCTCTGGGATCTCAACCACTTTCTCCAACTGATAAATTTTTGAGATTACAGGTAGCTCCACCTTTTGAGTGTCCCCTGGGACCTCAACTACTTATTTCAGTAGAGTGTCTTCTGGTATCTTTTCACCTTTTTGATGATTTTCTGAGACCACAGACACCTGCATCTGAGTGTACACCAGTACCTCTACCACTGTCTTCAGCTGAAGATTTTCAAAGACCCAACACACCTCAACCTTAATGTCTTCTGGTATCTCTACCACCGTCTCCAGCTGAAGATGTTCTGAGACCTCACACACCTCCACCCAAGTGTACTCTGTTACCTGTACCACCTTCTTCAGCTAATGATTTTCTGAGACCACAGGCAACTCAACCACTTGAGTGTTTTCCGGCACCTCAATCTCCTATTTCACTCCCGTGTCCTCTAGGACTTCGACCACCTACTTCACTCGAGCGTCCTGTGCCACCTAAACCATCTTCTCCAAGTGAAGATTCTCTGAAACCACAGTCACCTCCTCCAGTCAAGTGCTGCCTGGTACCTCCACCACCTTCTCCAGCTGGTGATCTTCAACCACAGACACTTCCAGCAATCTCGGGTCCTCTGGGACCTCCTTCGTGTCTTCCAGCTGTTTGTTTTGTAGAACTGCCACCAGTTTCTCAGCTGCATCTCTTATGGGACTTTATCCACCTCATCCACCTGTCTATCCTATGGGACTTTATCCACCTCATCCAGCTGTCTATCCTATGGGACTTTATCCACCTCATCCAGCTGTCTATCCTATGGGACTTTATCCACCTCATCCAGCTGTCTATCCTATGGGACTTTATCCACCTCATCCACCTGTCTGTCCTGGGGGACCCCATCCACCTCATCCACCTGTCTGTCCTGGGGGACCCCATCCACCTCATCCACCTGTCTGTCCTGGGGGACCCCATCCACCTCATCCACCTGTCTGTCCTGGGGGACCCCATCCACCTCATCCTCCTGTCTGTCCTGGGGGACCCCATTCGCTTCAGCTGTCTATCCTGGGGGACCCCATCCACCTCATCCAGCTGTCTGTCCTGGGGGACCCCATCCACCTCATCCAGCTGTCTGTCCTGGGGGACCCCATCCACCTCATCCAGCTGTCTATCCTGGAGGACCCCATCCACCTCATCCACCTGTCTGTCCTGGGGGACCCCATCCACCTCATCCACCTGTCTATCCTGGGGGACCCCATCCACCTCATCCAGCTGTCTGTCCTGGGGGACCCCATCCACCTCATCCAGCTGTCTATCCTGGAGGACCCCATCCACCTCATCCACCTGTCTGTCCTGGGGGACCCCATCCACCTGTCTGTCCTGGGGGACCCCATCCACCTCATCCACCTGTCTATCCTGGGGGACCCCATCCACCTCATCCACCTGTCTATCCTGGGGGACCCCATTCGCTTCAGCTGTCTATCCTGGGGGACCCCATCCACCTCATCCACCTGTCTATCCTGGAGGACCCCATCCACCTCATCCACCTGTCTATCCTGGGGGACCCCATCCACCTCACCCACCTGTCTATCCTGGGGGACCCCATCTACCTCATCCACCTGTCTATCCTGGAGGACCCCATCCACCTCATCCACCTGTCTATCCTGGGGAACCCCATTCACTTCAGCTGTCTATCCTGGGGGACCCCATTCACCTCATCTATCTGTCTGTCCTGGGGGACCTTATCCACCTCATCCAGCTGTCTGTCCTGGGGGAACTCATCTTCTTCCTCCAGCAGTGTGGCCTCTGGGACCTCAGCCTACTTCTCCAGTTAATGGCCTCTGGAACCTCAGCCACCTTCTCTACCTTGGTGGCCTCCCTTAGCTGTCACCTTCAAATGAGTCTCCTCTAGTACCTAAAGAATCTTCTCATGACCTCTCAGCCCTCAGCCACCTCCTTCCCCTAGGTCTTCTCTAGTACTTCAGCCATCTCCCTCACTTGGCTGACCTGCTGTCTCAACTGACACTCAACCTTCACCTGAGTGTCCTCTCAGACTTCAGCCCCCTCCTCTAGGCACGTGGCCTCTGAAACCTCAACCAACACCTTTAAATGCATCACTTGATGTGTTGATTTGAACAGTATAAAGTAATTTGTAAAAAACAAAATTCATCTCTTCTTTTTTCAGTGCATAGAAACATCACAGATGGGACTGCAGGGCTTTGCAGGACAGGGGTAACTCTGGCTGAGATCCTGGCCACTTTTCTCAGGTTTCTGAGAGTACATAGTCTGCTGCATGATTTCCTCTTTGTGAGTTTGGCAGCAGGTATCTCTTGTAGATAAAGACAGATTTTTTATTTTTTGTGGGGACAGAGTCTTACTGTGTCACCCAGGCTGGAGTGCAGTGGTGCAATCCGGGCTCAGTGCAACCTCCATCTCCAGGGTTCAGGTGATCCTCCCACCTTAGCCTCCAGAGGAGCAGCTGGGACTACAGTCACGCACCACCATGTTGACTCTTTTTAATTTTATTTTCTTTTTTGGGGGGACAGAGTCTCACTCTGTCACCAGGCTGTAGTGCAGTGGTGCCATCTCTGCTCACTATAACCTCTGCCTCTTAGGTTCATGAGATTCTCCTGCCTCAGCATCTCAAGTAGCTGGGACTAATTTTTTGTATTTTTAGTAGAGACAGTGTTTCACCATGTTGGCCAGGTCAGTCTTATCTACTGATCTCATGATCTGCCCACCTTGGCCTCCCAAAGTCCTGGGATTACACGTGTGAGCCACAGTGCTCTGCCTTTTTCTTTTTCTTTTCTTTTTGTTTTTGAGATGGAGTCTCACTTTGTCACCCAGGCTGGAGCACAGTGGTGGGATCTCAGATCTCAGCTCACTGAAACATCCGCATCCTGGGTTCAAGTGATTCTTTTGTCTCAGCCTCCTGAGTAGCTGAGACTACAGGTGTGTACCACCACACCTGGCTAAGTTTTGTATTTTTAGTAAAGATAGGGTTTCACCATATTGGCCAGGCTGGTCTCTAACTCCTGACCTCAGGTGATCCACCCACCTTGGCCTCCCAAAGTGCTGCGATTACAGGCGTGAGCCACTGTGTCCATCTCTCTCTCTCTCTCTTTTTTACTTTTTGTAGAGACCATATCTCACCATGTTGCCCAAGCTGGTCTCAAACTCCTGGACTCATGCCAACTGCCAACTTAGGCCTCCAAAGTGCTGAGATTATGGGCATGAGCCACCAGCCCAGCCAGAGATTGTTTATAGAAGCCAGAAACAGCAGTTTTGCAGGTGCATATAGAACCTGGGCCACATGGCCATCTCTGTTAAGGATGACACCCATTCCTGACTTACAGAATGTCCTGTGTCCTCCAACAGAGAGATCCACACCAAAGGGCACAGAGCTTGTGACCACTCATGGTAGAAGCACAAGTGAAGGGACCCAGGGTGCAAAAGAAAGACACTGAATCTCCTGGGAATAAACAGGAGGCTGTGGAAGAGAAGGCTGAAGCAAATTGGCTTCACTTGGGGGTTTGCGTAACTCAGGTGGAGCTGGAAGACTCCTGGCTGGGCAAGCAGTATGAGCAGGAGCATGGAAGCTGTGTGAGGGTCCCACAGAACCGCTGTGGAAGAGCTCAGATGGGCAGGTGTGCACAGGGAATTATGCCCCCAGCACTTCCTCATTGCCCTATTAGCCTTAGTCCGTTATCTGTAGGAATTATGATTCTTTCCCTGGGTGTGTGAAAGCTCTGGATCAGGGTGAATGAATGCCTAGAGCTCTGGTAAATTTAACTTTGTTCTGTCTGGGGACCCTGTCTCCCTAGATTTTATGGCCCCAGGAGACTAACAATGAGGATGGGTCTGGTTTATTGGAGCTATGGTCTTGGTCTTCAGAATCAGGTCAACTCTGGTGGGGAAGTCAAGGCCAATCCTGAGCTGTGCTGGCATCATCTTGTCCCCAGCAACCTCTCTCTCCCCCTGTGACTCCCAGCTTTGCCTCTCCCAACTTTGGCTGCAAAATCCTCCCCCCTCACTGTGTCCCTGCTACCTGAGCCCAGTTGCCAATTCTCAGTGGGGCTCAGAGCCCCAGCTTTCTCAGAAATAAGCTGGGACTGATGTGGTTACGAGGTCATGATGAGGACAAGGAGACCAGGCCCATGAGGAAATCATCTTGCAAAATAGTTGCTAAAAGGGAGAACCTTCTCCCTCCCGCTGGTTACATGAAAACATTCCCACTCAGAAGATCAGCATCAGATGTTCATTAAAGTTTACTAACCTTAGGGTGGAACAGCTCAGGCCCCAGGATTTGCAATCTCTGTTTCAAAAAATAAGGGATAGCCTCTGTCTCCAAGATTAAAATTCAGATTTTTTTTTTTTGACCTCTGAACTTTTATTGGCCTCCTGCTCCCCCAAGGGTCCCCTGCTTCTGCTGGCATAATGTCTCAGAACTTTAGTGTCGTTGGTCTCAGACACCACTTTGCCATCCACTATCTGGCGGGTGGCCGTCTTTTGGATGGTTTGCATGGAGTTGCTGCTGCTGTTCAAGGCATCACTGAGACTGAAGTCCTCCCCATCTTCCAGCAGGCGACGGTAGGTGGCGATCTCAGCCTCCAGCTTGACCTTGATGTTCAACAGAGCCTCGTACTCCTGGGCCTGGCGCTGTCCCTCTGCCCGGGTCTGTGCCAGCTCTGACTCCAGGTGCAGCAGGATCCCGTTGAGCTGCTCCATCTGCAGGGCATAGCGGACCTCCACCTCCCTCAGGCTGTTCTCCAAGCTGATCTTTGTATTTCTCATGGAGTCCAGGTCAATCTCCAAGGACTGGACTGTACGTCTCAGCTCTGTGAGCATCTTCTCAGCAGTTTCAACCTCAGTGGACTGTGTGGTGACTATTGTGGTACTCTCCTCAATCAGCTGAGTCCAGTACTTGTCCAGCTTCTCTCGGTTCTTCCGAGCCAGCTCATCATACTGAGCCCGGATTTCTGCCATGATCTTAGCAAGGTCCTGAGATTTGGGGGCATCTACCTCCACGGTCAACCCAGAGCTGGCAATCTGGGCTTGTAGGCCATTTACTTCCTCTTCATGGATCTTCTTCATGAAGAGCAGCTCCTCCTTGAGAGCCTCGATCTCTGTCTCCAGCTGCAGCCGAGTGACATTGGTGTCATCGATGACCTTGCGGAGACCATGGATGTCGCTCTCCACAGACTGGCGCATGGCCAGCTCTGTCTCATACTTGACTCTAAAGTCATCAGCAGCAAGAGAGCATTGTCAATCTGCAGAATGATGCGGGCATTGTCCACAGTATTTGAGAAGATCTGAGCCCCCAGGTCCTCGATGATCTTGAAGTAATGGCCCCAGTCTCTGACCTGGGGTCCCTTCTTCTCCAGGTGCTCCCGGATTTTGATCTCCAGCTTTCGGTTCTCGGTCTCCAGGCTCCTGACTCTGTCCACGTAGGAGGCCAGGCAGTCGTTCAGGATTTGCATGGTCTCCTTCTCGTTCTGGATGCCTCCCATTCCTGCCAGACCCCTGGCCATCCCCGCGGCCAGGCCCCCACGACCCTGCCGCTCCGGACGCTGGTGGAGCGCGTCACGGAGACGCGGGAACCAGAGCCCCTGGCGCCTGCATAGACGCTGGCCGCGCTGCTGACCAGCCAGGCGCCATAGCTGGGCACCCGGATGGAGCCCACGGACCGGTAGTTGGTGGAAAAGGAGGAGCAAGTGGTGAAGCTCATGCTGCCCGGGGAGGAGAGCGAGAGGACAGGACTCAGGCTTCGCAGACCTAAAATTTAGATTCTTATGAGATGAAGAGATTATAGGAATGCATACACAGTTATATTCTAAAATCTATATCTGTGATATGTAGATAATTATTCTTCATGACATACAGTCACATATGCAGCCACACAAGGAAGTATTCAGTAGGTGCACAGGTATTTTGTAGAAGACAAAATGTATATTAGGTAAAAAGATCACATGGAAATAAACCAAAAATTTTTTTTTTTCACTATGAAAATGCTTTAATAATGGTGTCCATACAGCATGGGACGTGGACAGGGAAAACGGCAGGTGCACACATAGAGAGACAGGCCAGAGGACAGGCTGGGACTGAATAAAGAGTTCACACTGCTCCCTGCTTTCCGCAGTGACTGGACGCTCTAGACCGCCTCCTCCTCGAACTTACCCTCCTCCTCAGCTTGGTGTCCTGGTACTGTTGGTATTTGAACACCAGGTAATTCATGTTGCTCTTGGTCTTGGTGAACTCCATCTTGTCCAGGCCTTCACCTGTGTACCAGTGCAGAAACATGGCTGTGAACTGCTCTGAGATGCATTAGAACAGCTCCTGGATGGCTCTGCTGTTGCCAATAAGGGTGGCGGATATTTTTAGCCCTCAGGGCAGAATGTCACAGACAGCCATTTTCTTATTGTTGGGGATCCACTCAGCAAAGTAGCTGCTGCTCCTGTTTTGGACCTTAAGCATTTGCTCGTCCACCTCCTTCATGGACATGTGGCCCCTGAACATGGTAGCCACTGTCAGGTCATGGCCATGGTGGGGGTCGCAGGCCGTCATCATGTTCTTGGCATCCAACATCTGCTGGGTGAGCTCGGGCGCTGTCAGGGCCCAGGACTGCTGGCTTCCCTGGCTGGTCAGCGGGTTAAAGCTGAGTATGAAGAAGTGCCAGTGGGAGAATGGGACCATATTCATGGCCAGCTTCTGCAGGTCAGGACTGAGCTGATCTGGGAAGCACAGGCAGGTAGTGACCCCACTCATGGTGGCAGACACCAGGTGGTGCAGGTTACTGCAGGTGGGTGTAGCAGCTTTAGGGTTCTGAAGAAGATGTCATAGAGAGCCTCATTATCGATGCAGTAGGTCTCATCAGTGTTTCTGATGAGCTGGTGGATGGAGACGGTGGCATTATAGGGCTCCACCACCGTGTCTGACAGCTGGGGTGAGGGCACCACACTGAAAGTGATCATGAACCTGTCTGGGTACTCCCCCCGGATCTTGTTGATGAGGAGGGTACCCATCCCAGATGCAGTTCCCCCATCCAGGGGGTCTGGCCACTTTGCTGCTTTATTTTGTGTTTTCTAATACACTTCTGGATTCAATATGCTGTTTCATAATTTTATGTTTAGATACCTTTGTGTTAGCTACTATATATACCTAACAAATGTTTTCTTTTTTTTATTTAAAATGTTTAGATTAATAGAGGTCCAGGTGAGGTGGCTCACACCTGTAATCCCAACACTTTGGGAGGTGGAGGTGGGTGGATCATGGGTCAGGAGTTTGAGACTAGCCTGACCAACATGGTGAAACCACATATCTACTAGAAATATAAAAATTGCCTGGATGTGGTGGCAGGTGCCTGAGACAGGAGAATCACTTCAACTGGGGAGGTGGAGGTTGCAGTGAGCCAAGATCGTGCCTTCAGAGGTGTTGGGGCCAAATATAAACACTCTCTGGCTCCTCCTATGATCTGTTGGACCTCACAAACGGGTTAGAAAAAACTGTTCCGAGAGTGGGCATGTCAAACATTGATGAAAGGGAAGGGAGGATAAAGGAAAAGTTGAACAAATTAAATCCTAGGTTAATTTAGAGTTATTTTGAGTTCTGTGAAATCTGTTCACGTTTCAGTAAGCAGTAACCCTGTTGACCAAAAAAAAAAAGAGAAGAAGAAAAAGAAAAAGGAAATAAATCATACTGAATTGGCAAAAGTTGGAAGGATTCCCTTTGAAAACTGGCATAAGACAAGGATGCCTCCTCTCACCACTCCTGTTCAACATAGTATTGGAAGTCCTGGCCAGGGCAATCAGGCAAGAGAAAAAAATAATGGGCATGCAAATAGAAAGACAGGAAGTCAAACTATCCCTGTTTCTAAAAAAAAAAAGAAAAAAATAAGATATGGTGTACCACGTAGAGCCACAGGCTTACATTTCTTTAGACCAAGGAACACACTTTACAGCCCATAGTGTCCAACAGAGAGAAAAAAGATATCACACAAAAGGGATACCAAAGGGGAGAATAAGCTGGCGTGGTGGGGAGTGAATAGGGATGTGAGCGGGGTTGGTGGGGGTGGGAAGGGGAGTGAGCAGTATGGAGGTTCTACTTGAAATGCTGGACCTCACTAGTGTGCTTTAGGGGTCATTTTTGCTAAGATGCCTTCTAAAAGAACTTGGAACTTTTCATGCATCCTGTGGTAGATGTCTTTTATTTTTGTTTTGTTTTGTTGAGACGGAGTTTTCCTCTTGCTGCCCAGGCTATAGTGCAATGGCACAATTTTGGCTCACTGCAACTTCCACCTCCCAGGTTCAAGTGATTCTCCTGCCTCACCCTCCCTACTAGCTGGGATTGCAGGTATGCGCCACCATGCCCAGCAAATTTTTGGAGTTTTAGTAGAGATGGAGTTTCACCATGTTGGCCAGGTTGGTCTTCAACTCCTGAGCTCGGGTGATCCACCCACCTTGGCCTCCCAAAGTGCTGGGATTACAGGTGTGAGCCACCAGGCCGAGCTGGTAGATGTATTTTGATTTAGAACATTATATGGGCCTGTGAGCAGATCCCTGACTGTGTGAACAAACTAGAAACATGTAAAATTATGATAGCCTCACTACATCCTTTCCCACATCCATTTACTTAACTTTTACAGGATGCCAATGTGCCAGGCAGGGCTGGGTGGTGACTGCTGGCATGGTCTGACCCACTCAGGGAAGTCACTATGCAGCACTGGGGGCCAGGCCAGGGCATTGGGAGATGCCAGAATAGGGAGGTGTGAAGTGCAGCAGGAAAGACAAGGTAGAGCAGCAGAGATATGTCTGCAGATGTGCAGCTGTTACCAGAACACCAGGGTTTCAGCCGCAGTCCTGTTCACAGTGCAGAAAGCTAGTCACTGAGAGGCGAGTATTGCTAGAGAAGAGTTTCACTGGGTGCTGCAGCTGTGGAAGTGGAAGATCAATCTCCAATTCATGATGCCTGTCTAACTAAAACTAGGGGTTTATAGAGCAGGGAAGAAAAGGCATCCACTGGTGGGAAAACAGGCACACAGGAGGGCTAAAGAAGCAGTCATGCTGAATGAGGTCCAGGCATCTCATTGTCTGGAGCCAATGGGCTGATGAGTCCAGGTCTTTGATACTTTTTGAGAGGCCTGGAGGTCTTTTGCTGAGGAGGGAACTCAGATGAAACAAGTATAGCTCATCCAGCTTTTAGATCAGAAGGGTAAGTTTCTGGCCAGGTGCGGTGGCTCAAGCCTGTAATCCCAGCACTTTGGGAGACTGAGGCGGGTGGATTACGAGGTAAAGAGATCGAGACCATCCTGGTCAACATGGTAAAACCCTGTCTCTACTAAAAATACAAAAAATTAGCTGGGCATGGTGGCACGTGCCTATAATCCCAGCTACTCAGGAGGTTGAGGCAGGAGAATTGCCTGAACCCAGGAGGCAGAGGTTGCGGTGAGCCGAGATCGCGCCATTGCGCTCCAGCCTGGGTAACAAGAGCGAAACTCCGTCTCAAAAAAAAAAAGAAGGGTAAGTTTCTAATTTTATTTTTTTTAAAGACAGAGTCTTGCTCTGTTGGCCAGGTTAGAGTGCAGTGGTGTGATCTCAGCTCACCGCAACCTCCACCTCCTGGGTTCAAGTGATTCTCCTGCCTTATCCTCCTAAGTAGATGGTCTTGATCTCTTGACTACAGATGATCTGCCTGCCTTGGCCTCCCAATGTGCTGGGATTACAGGTATGAGCCACCACACCCGCCCATAAGTTTCTAATGTAAAGAAAACTACCTGTGAGACTATTGAATCAGTTTCAGAGTAAGTGAGGTGGATGTCAGTTGACATGTGTAGGCTCTGGCATCAACTATAAATTTATGTCCACTATTCTGTTTTCAAAACATATATAAACCTTTGCAATTCTTTTTTTTTAAGAGACTAGATTTCTCCATGTTGTTCAGGTTGTTTTCCAACTTCTGACTTCATGATCTGCCCACCTGAGGCTCCCAAAGTGCTGGGATTACAGGTGTGAGCCACCATGCCTGGCCCTTTACATACTTTTATAAAACATATCTAGAGGCCTGGTGTGGTGGCTCAGGCCTGTAATCCCAGCACTTTGGGAGGCTGAGATGAGTGGGTAACGAGGCAAGGATTTCAAGATCAGCCTGGCTAATATGGTGAAACCCTGACTCTATTAAAAATACAAAAACTAGCCTAGTGTGGTGGCGAGTGCCTCTAATCCCAGCTACTTGGGAGGCTGAAGCAGAAGAATCACTTGAACCTGGGAGGCAGAGGTTGCAATGACTTGAGGTCACATCACTGCACTCCAGCCCAGGTGACAGAGCAAGACTCTGTCTCAAATAAAATAAAATAAAATAAAAAGATATCTAGAGAAAACAAAACACTAATTTTTTTTTTTTTTTTTTTTTTTTTGAGATGGAGTTTCGCTCGTTACCCAGACTGGAGTGCAATGGCGCGATCTCAGCTCACTGCAACCTCCGCCTCCTGGGTTCAGGCAATTCTCCTGCCTCAGCCTCCCAAGTAGCTGGGATTACAGTGTTATATCGCACTCAGCACAGAAAGTCAACACCAGAACAAAAGAATGCCAAATTACAGGGTTTATTGCCGGCGACCATGGAGGACTCACGTCTCTCCAACCCGTGGCAGAGAAAGAAGAGTGACAAGACCTTTTTATACCCACAAAACCACCTTGGGAGTGGGGGTGAGGAGTGGAGATGGGAATGAAAGCTGTCAATCACTTCCCAGGCTGAGACGAGGGTGAGGGGGCTCCAGACATTCC